CACAAATTCTCATCTTGTTAGTATAGATTGCACAGGGGTCGCCATTTCCAGCTCAGTTGTATTAACAGCTAAAAATGACGCACTTCTAAAAAAGATCGCTGTTCTTTCCACCACCCCAACCCCGCCCCTTTTTGGCTACTCCCTTCTTGGGGTCTCAGCAGCGAGCTAGCTGAAGACTTAATTGTTTTCCACTGGCCATCCCCCCCCCCCCATCTGATCCCCCGGGCACCCTAGATGGCAGCTCTGCTCCACACAGAGGGCTGTTGTAGCTCGGTGGTCTGTGGTTGTGTCAGGAAGGATGTCCAGTGTAAAACAATTAAGTCTTCAGCTAGCTCGCTGCTGTGACCCCAAGAAGGGAGTAGCCAAAAAGGGGCGGGGTTGGGGTGGTGGAAAGAACAGCGATCTTTTTTAGAAGTGCGTCATTTTTAGCTGTTAATACAACTGAGCTGGAAATGGCGACCCCTGTGCAATCTATACTAACAAGATGAGAATTTGTGCCGCCATTTTGAGAAGTCCAGTGTGGCGAGTGTTCTTTACTGTCAGAATGGCTGCAGACCATCACTGTCAAGTAAAACACTAAAATCAGAGGAGTCCCAATGTTTCGTCGTTGTATTTATCTGAGCCAGCTTTACAAAGAACGTGGCATATGTATTATATCATTTTATAAATCACTGAAGGCATGACTTTTTATTGTTTAAAAGCAGTAATAAATCCGTCACGCTCATGCTTCAGAATTTTACAAGTTCCAAGTCAAACAAACTTAACTGGACCGCATCAAAGTTCATGCTCAATAATCCAGGTAAAAATAATACACCAAAGTTCAGCCCAGATGACCTGACTGAATTTTGTTGGAGTTCCTACCTGGATTATTGAGCATGAACTTTGACGTTTTGAACCACTTTGGCTATGGCTGTTTCAGAGGAGTCGATGGGGGAGAGGACGGGCCCCAGAAACCGTCTTATCACCAGCAAACTGGTTGGTCCACTATGGGAGTGTGCTGCTTGTGGGACTCAGTTTGTTTGGTTGCTCCTCAGACTGATGAAGGACAAAACGTCTCAACAAAAAAAAAAAAAAAAACAGTCCCAAGGACCTGACTGAATTTGTAAACTGGACCACCCGCAAAGTTGAAATTTCTATTTCAACCTGACCAGCGCTGACCTCAAATTCAAATATGGCTGATCTTCACATGAAGGGTTGTGATGGCTTCTTTTGTTTTCAAGTCAGTTCGAGTCAGTCTCTCACACAGTACAGCTCAGGAAGCATTTTGTTGCAATGTTTGAATGCAGAGATTATTGTCTTATGTTACTGATACTGGTCATCCTGGTCACTGAATACGACCATTCACAAACTTTGCTGGTTTTCTGACCAGCAGGTGAAACATGAGCAGCAGATTTATACTTGTAGATAACCACAGAACTCCCCTTGACATTCTATTGCACAAAATCAAGAGTGGAAACATCTTTTAAGAAGCATTTGTATGAAATGCCATTTATTTTCAGGCTTTTGGACTTAGCCATCAGCTTAACCATTAAGGGGGAATGGTGGCACAGAGGTTTGAGAAGGGGCCTGTGATTGGAAGGTCGTCGGCTCAACTCCCTGGACTGACATAAAAATGTAGGTGGGATAGATGAAACACCCACACCTGCCTCCACCCTCATCTGCCCCACTCTGGGTCCTTGAATAAGGCACCTAACCCCCACCATCTGCTCCCCTGGTTGCTCTAGATGGAGCTCTCTGCTCCACACAGAGGGCTGTGGTAGCTCAGTGGTCTGTGGTTGTGTCAGGAAGGACATCTGGTGTATAAAAACAATTGACAAGACTTTGTGGGAGATAGTTCGCTGTGGCGATCCCTGAAGAAGAGAGCAACTGAAAGAAGAGAGGACTAGCCATTAGCTCATCAGTCCTGTCAGGTGTGAACTCTATTTCTCCAAACTCCAGCAGTTCAAGAAGATATCTGCAACAAGTTTGATATTATTTTTTTTATAACTCTTACACAGAATGTCAAAACTTTATTTTAAGTCTTAACAAAAAATAAAAACAGTTTTTAATTGTTTACTATTGCATTTTAAAAAATAAATCAAAGATTATTTTACGTTAAATATTAATTATGTAACCTTTGACTTCTCTTTCCATGTGGGGTAACACTTTACAATAAGGTACACAAAATTTGATTAACTACTAGGGAACGCCTCAGAAGCGAATCAGGAACAAATCACGAGCTAATGAGTAGTTAATCAGTACTTACTAGGAAACACACAGCCAAGCCTTATTAGGGGACAACTGGTTAGTTACCTGTGAAGCAAAGAGGAACTAATCAGGAACTAATGCGTAGTTAACTAGTACTTACTGGGAAACAACCAGCCAAGTCCACAGTTAAACACTGTTTGGACGTCTTTGCTGCTACTGGTTGAGTCTAAGAGCACAGTGTTTCTACGTAGAGCCCGTGAATGTCCCATGAATCCTTGCAACCAGATGCATCTTAATTTCTATTTTTTTTTGAAGGGTTAGTTTTAAGTTTGATTTTGACTCTGCTTTCTTTTGTTACATGTAATCAGTTCGTATATGAAAACTGTTTTATTAATTTTTAAGATAAAAACCATTAAAAATGACCTGGACAAGCTGGTTTGATTAAACCTGACACAAGAATTTATGCACAATACTGTAAAAGTTAGATGTGGAATGTAAAATGTAATATGTCTCAGACAATGTGATAAAGATAACTTGAAGGTGAGAGTTGTTTTGTGTGTCCCTGTGGAGGACTGGAGACCTGTCCAGGGT